TACTGCTATAATAAGTTTATTAAGTTGTAAAATTTACATTAAATATTGAAATATTTATTTTTCATTTATTATTTATCATATTATTGTTGATCTTTTATTTCCCAAAGCTTCGAAATTTTTAATTTAATGTACTAATTGACTATTTTGTAAACCTTCGTTCAATGAATTTAACTGAACGATCATTAGAAGAAATTTATGAATAAATGATAATTACATTAGTGTTGTACCCTAACATGAAATCTTAGAAGTTTCTTTATATCACATGGCATGTTAATCTTTGCCTTAATTAAACACAAAATGTGATAGGTAGCCAAATATAGCAAACTATCCCTAAGCTAGTGACATATAGGTCACGTGACTATACACTTTTCCGTACACATCCGCTTCTATTTGCACATCATTGTGACGGACTAAGCAAGATTTTGACTGTTGAAAAAAAGAGAATGAACGTTCGCATCAGTTTGATGTTTACTCGAAGCCTACGATTAATACGTAAATAAATAATGTGTATAAAGTGCAGCCTTCCATATTCATTTTCGGATAGTTTTGTTGACTGCTCTCCCAGTCGATCATTAATCGTCGTTCCATACCCTGCGACAACTTATTTCGCGTAACATTTTAGATCCTAATTTACATATTAATTAACATACTAATTACTAATTAACATATAATAACAATACATTACTAATTAACATATACCCTAATTTTAATATTTAAATTTCAGGTTATTTAGAAATAAAAAAATGTACGCATTTAAAATGTGGTATGTTTCATTTCAGCCTTTCCGACTTAAGGCTTGCTGGAGAGGTGGCAAAAAAAAAAAAAATCAAGCCCCTTTAGGCCTTTTTCTTTCCTCTGCACATATTTATAGTAAGAGCATCAAAAGAGAACCACTTCAAGCTTTCTCTCGCAGCATAATGGAATACAATTTTTTCTAGCAAATAATTATCCCCTCCGCTCTCCCCCCAAATCATAGAAGAGGGTGCAAGAAATGACATCGCCTTTCTTTTATTTATTACAGAATTATTAACCATCAAAATATTGTAAGGATTATATTAATTTATCTAACAGTTAAATTTTGAGTTAAACTTCTTTTCTTATCATTTCTGAATTTCAACTTAACTTCCGGACAGAACGTAGTTTTAGAATCACGTTTGAATGCAAATTGAGGAAGAGAGGTATTTAACCGCGAAGTTCTACTGTCTTAGTTAGTGAGAACCAGAGTTTCTGGTTAGCACGCGTCCGCCTTTTTAGACTACTCTCTCTTAAGCTCTTATTATGCTCGACCGTACTTATGGACCTTGATAGCTTCTCAGTTCAGCGTTAAGGGTCTAACTCTGTTAGACTTTTGATAGTTTCGGCTATATCTTCTAAGTTAAGATTAGTTTAGTTTAGTTCTTAGTCTCTTAAGTTCAAGCCCGAGTGTCGGCTTTATTGTACAACTCCAAGACGGTTACATCTTATTAGAATATTAAAGGGTTATTTCACCCCTCTTACTTGTTGTTTCCTGTACCACGAACTCAAGCGATTATTCGCTTATCAGTTCTTAAGATTCTTCACACTCGACTGTAACTTTAAAGTACAGAGTAATGAATCTTATAATATTACAAAATAAATGCTTAGTTAACTGTCTGAGCATAGAAAGTGAATCTGGTACAGAATGTGTTCATTTTATTTCACAGTATCTTGCAAGCGAAACTTTTCATTTGTGACAACCATCCATCACAGATGTTTCGAGACTGGTTGCCACAACTGCAAGATAAAAGGCAAGAATGCTGCAAATACCATTCCTTGCAAATACCATATCTTAAAAAAAAAAAAAAAAAAAAAAAAAAAAAAAAAAAAAAAAAAAAAGGTTTGAAGTTAAATGGATTAATATCCAGTCTATGTAGAGGCCATTGTCTCCTAACTTTATAATTTTCAGAAAACCGATTTGATATCTCACACACATTCAATATCTCATATAGGACACAAAGAACAACATTTACTGTTTATAAGCGAGCTCCATTGTCATGAACCATTGAGTGTATCAGGAAGATATATTGCCGATTACAGGTGTGCGATCATTTCATGGAAGCAGTCGATTCTTCTCCAATACAGGACCAGTGCTGACACAATCTGTGAATGGTTTACTCACAAAGAGTCCATCTCATACCAAAATATAAACAAAAATATCTGTGTCATCACCAAACTTATAAGTTATTTCTCCTGCCTTCTTAGCATGCCTTCGTGGTGTAATGGTCAGCATGCTCTGCTCATATTCGAGAGGTTCGAGGTTCGAGTATCGGCGAGGGCACTACACATTTTTCATGTCTCCTGCTTCGAAATAACCTAATGACCCTACATTGGCGACCGAATTGAAAAGGTGGTGGATAATGATTCTGCACCACCAGGATTTGGCGACTGCGTCCCCTAATTCCAGTCGCCTTTTAAAAGGGGGAGCATATAAGGTATTTCTTCCCCTTCTTAGCATGCCTTCGTTGTGTAATGGCCAGCACGCTCGGCGCGTATTCGAGAGGTCCGAGGTTCGAGTCTTGCCGAGGGCATTGCACATTTTTCATGTCTTCTGCTTCCAAGTAACCTAATGTTTCTACAAACGCTTTTTCAAAAAGCACCACAACTTTCAATTTTTATTCAAGAACACTCAACCGATCGTTATCATCATCTTGGAAACTGCTGTTTCGCAGCAAATTAAGAGTCTGATAATTACTCCTCCTAACATTCAATATATAAGATTAAAAAAATTATGGCGTGATTGAATGATATGACAGCTTGTGCGCCATTCTGTAGCTTAAAAGTATATTCCGTGCGTTCCAAAATGACTTCAGTAGTTCCAAATGAAGTCTTGTTTAGCTTCTTTTCCATGGAATGCTTATTAACAAGAAAGCGTTACCTCTATTTGCTTTAGAAGCAAAAGCAGAGGCGGAAATGAAAATGAGAGGCTGAAATGGCACAATTTTTAAAACAGCCTTATTTGGGAAATCCTGAAGTGGGACATAGTAGTAAAATGTTTGGATCCCACTTTATAGAGGCCATTAAACATTTTGGACCTGGAATAGAGGCCAGATCTGGAGGTACAGGTTATACAAATTTACATAACTTTATAAAATATAAGACAAATCTGATATCTACGACTTCATTTTTCTATTACAAAACAGTTAGAGCCTGAAATATGTCGGCTCTAATTCCAAAGATGGATGAAATTTAATTTCGAGCTTCGGTAAAATAATTTATTTATCTCATATAATTTATTTATTTAAAGTACTTCTCAAAGCATAATATTCATAAGCGTTTATTTCGGGTATTAGGAGACAGCAGCTATTCAACAGTTACCAAATGGGTAGCTAACGTCTTCCCAGTAAAATATTCCTGTGAAAATGATCCACGTTAAAGTCGTTCAACAGCATCAATCCCAGTGGAAATAATTACGAAAGTGGAAAATATTGTGATGTTAAGTAAACAAATGACTATTAAGGAGACAGCAGAGTTTGTGGATATTTCATTTAGCAGAGTATAATCAGTCTAAAAAATATCTTATAATAAGAAACGTCAACCCAGTGGACACTGTAAATAAGAATGAAAGCTCAAATGGATGATATAAGGATTTGGGATATTTTTGACTATGTATCAGCAGAATATAAAAGGATTTTTTTGTATAGGTAAGTGAACATAAATGGATACACCACTTCATCCCGAGATTGAACAAGATAAGGTGACCTGGGGACATATTTATTCTCCTGTCAGGAAGAAGTACCATGTTTCAAAATCATTAAGCAAAGATTGTGGGAAGTCAAAGGGTTTGGAAAAAATGATACGGCAAGTAAATATTTTTTTCTAAAATAAAATCTGTGTCAACCAGTGATATTTTTCTTAGACTCAGTGCCAAAAGGCTGCTGGTGACTGATTACCTTCAGAGTGGCAAAACAATAACAGGGAAGTATTTTACCCAGTAATCTAAAATTGCAAGAAATTAAAAGTAATCGAAGAAGAAATGCTAACGAAAGTTAAGCATGTCATATAACGGCTGCTATAACTACTGCAATTTATTACTTCATCTTATATGCTTGTTTCAAGTGACTGTTTTCCTATTCAAAAACTTGAAAAACGACTTCCGCAACACGTATTTTTTATGGGATGATAATATGAATGTCGTCGTTGACTGGTTTTTAAAATATGAGAAAGTCTGCTAGGGGCTAAATCTATTACCGAAGCACTCAGAGAAATGCACGGTTATAGAAAAGAGTTATAAGGTGTAGAGACAATTGGTAATTTTTTGGAAGCAGGCAAGATGAAAAATATGCAACGTCTTCGCCAGGAATCGAACCGCGGACCTCTCAATTACGCGCTGAGCAGTCAGACTACTACATCACGAAGGCTCGCTAAGAAGGCGAGAGAAGCACCTTATAAAGGATAAGCAAGTTTTGATTTACTTGGCATTATTTCTTGTACCCCGTTTTTACGAACGTTTTAATAGCCATTTGTAAATATGATACTACATTTCAGGCCCTAAAGTTGCCGAGCGGTAAACAAGCTGAACACTGGTATTTCGGTCAGGAGTTCGAATTCCGGCGAACGGTCATGGGCGTTTTCGTGATTTTCTCCATGTGCAAAGTGTATATGAGCCAGTTCCCCGTAGAAAGTCCTCCAGGAAGGCATCCCTTCCCTTAGGCAGATAGCCCTAGTGTTCTTTGTCATAATCAACTAAATCTACCTATAGCTATAGCTACGTGTATTGTTTTTCTGAATTTTTTAAAAATTTATTTTGCATTTAATAAAAGAGGTGTTTTTTTTTTTTTTTTTTTTTTTTTTTTTTTTTTTTTTTTTTTGTGAAGTTTTATATATCTCTACACTTGCCATTCCTCAGTTGGATTTCTCTCCAACATTTATGTTTGGCTCCAAATGGCGTTCCATTAACCGAAAAGCGCTAAACAATATTCTGAAAGATGAATACATTTTAAAATACTCATATAGCGCAGAAATAACAAAGTTAATATATTTACCTCGAAAGCCGAAAGAGTGGATCTGTCTTCTAAGGCTAGCTTTAATGAGACCATGGACTGGTCGAGTGTTAGGATGTCCATGGATGGAACGATAAGGAAATTTTGTTCTTCTTTCGGATCTTCCACATCAGATGAGTGTAAGGCTGCGTCAGAAAAATTAGAACATATTTAGCTTCAGAAATATCAGACACTGAGTCACATAAGATGGGCATATATCAGTTATTTATTTTAGCGGAGTATAGATGGATTAGTTTAAGTTTTATTTAACGAAATTTACCTTTAATTCATAAATTTAATTCCTTATTATTCTAGAAGTCTTATCGCATTTCAGTTGTTTTTTATGCAAGGATTATTAAACGCAAACACGTTTCTTTGTTCATTTTATAATCTTCACTCATTAAAAACTACCAGGAGGTCTTTAAAGGCGTTTTAAATTTTATATTCAGCTTAAGAAACACAGAATAAGCAAAACAAATTTGAGTATATGGAAAACAACAGGTTTCGACTGGTCAAAACCAAGTCAAACGTTGTGGAACTTGTGTCGTTGAGCAACATTAAGTAATATTCCTCATATATTTTGAAAACATTTCATTTTGAGACATGATTTTAATTATCTTTATGCTTATCCTTTTTAATCTTATAATACAGTAAACATCTTGGTAATTGTAATATAATTTTATATACACTTACCATTTTGATAGTCTTCGCTGTTTTCAGATGGAAGGTTTTGACTGGAATGTATTGAATGCACCACCTGATACAGAAAGCGAAAAGAATAAAAAGAAAGAAGTACAGAATTTTTCGAATTCTGTGTAGCGTAATATACATAGGAAGATATATGGGATTTGCAGCGGATGGATATTGTATACCGAATAAACAATGAAAATCTCTTTTATTCACCTAAAATATTTCATCTTATTTTTATTTTAACTAAAATAAATAAAAAAAATTAATTAAAAATATTTAAGTATGTCTTAAAATACTAAATTCCTAGTCGTATTTTTTTAACTGTATTAAAAAGGAATAATGAAGTTATCTGCTATTTGTTTAAAACAAAATTTCAACGTTTGGCTCTGTTTCACCAATTTTAATCTATCGATCATAACTTTATTGTATTATGATTATAACTAAGTCAAAACAGGAATCGTCCATTTCAGAGTGTATTACTTCAGTAAATTCATATGCATTACACAAAGATAAAGAAAAATGAAAGCAATAAGTTCGAGTAAACGGTATCTAAACCACGGCTGAAAGCTGCTGTTAGTTAGCGGTAAGATAATAAAAGAAAAAAAATAAAGTCTTATTCCATTGAAATAGTAAAGTTAGAACAGAGAATGAACAAAACATTAAACACCACCAATGCATAAAACTGGCTCTGATATATTACATTTTACATTCCAGAAAAGAATGATATTTTATCCTTAAGAATAAAAAGTTCACTCAGAATAGTGCGATATATTGGGGTGTTCAAATGAAAAAGTACGGAACGACACTATGGATATACTGAAGTCTTTATTCACAAGTAATTACCAGAGGCCTGAGGACAAGTATTCCACTTGTCACGAGCCGAAGGATTCCTTCTTCCCAGAATTCCTGTAGCTGTGACAGGAGCCAGTCCTCGACTGTGTCCTTCAGCTCCTCGTCCGAGTTGAAACGCATCCTTTTGAGATGTCACTTCTCAACAAGTTGTTCACCTGGTCGATGAGTTCGGCCGTGATTACCTCATTTGCCTGTCATCACTCAAACACTCCAGGCCTCACGAATACTGGCACTCCATTTTCTCGCTGACTTGTTGGACACACAGTCTCTCCCGTATACGGCTACCATACGCCGATGAATATCGGCCGGTTTAACCCCTTCCATAGTCAGAAATCTGATAACGCATTGCTGCTACTCAATCGTCGAATTTTGCAATGTCGAATTATCTTGGCAAAATTGTCGAATTTTGCCAAGATATCATCACACGCACTGCCGCATCAATTGGATGGAACACACAACTGCCTGCTTCACTCCAGCGTCATGCGTGGTCGCTTGCGCATGTGTACAACCCGCCGGATACTACATTCGCACCCTTAGATGTCTCACTACGTTATACCAAAGCGGGCATATTCAAATTTCAGGAGATTCGGTTTTTACGACGTTTCGTACCTTTTCATTTGAACACCTCTTATACATCAATGGTTGACATAGGGTAACTGACTTCAGCTACACTGCATATTAATTACGGGAAAGCACACTAGGGCTATCCGCTACGAGTAGGGATGCCTTCGTGGATGATTTTGTAAGGGAAACTGGCTCTTATACACGTTACACATAGGGAAAAGTACGAAAACATCCTGCAGCCAGCCGTTCATCGCCCTATATAGGTATACCACATAACAGAAAAGTTTCTAAAGTAACGATTTAATCTAAGGAGCTTGCTGTGATTAAGCAACGAATCACGGAGTAAATAAAGAATAGGTGTTCTTATAAAGTAACTGCTTTTTCATAAATGTTCATAGCTAGTTGCCGAAAATTATGAATATAAATATTCACCTAAAATAATTCAGTAGCTTCTTAAAATATGAGTTAGCTTTATTGCGTTAGCTGTTTTTCTGTTTAAATCGAAGAAGAAATTCCAATGAAATAAACGTACAGAGAGTTTAGTGTTTGGTGTCCTATACAAACAAACAGACTTTTCGGATAAATAGACATACGAATAGCTGGAGTTCGGATAACTAAATGTATCAATTTTAATGGCTAAAATTAAAAAAAAAAAAAAAAAAAAAAATTAATACCGTTTATTTTCATTTAGATTTTAATGCAGAGAGAAAGTTTCCAGTGTTATTACATGTATACATTAATTAAGATATGTTTGACTTCTAAATTAATACATATAGACATGTAAGATAAAATATATGAAAATAAAAATTCTAACATCAATCTGCAATAATTCTTTACCTCTCTGTTTTGATTTGGGTATTTACCCTGTTCTAAAACTCTCTAAACTCCATTATTTCAAAAATAATAGTCATCATATGATTTTTACATAACACTGGCGATGTAGATGGTTTAGCAAATTGTAATTCAAACAGAAAATAATAGTTTAAAGGAGTTATTATTAGCCAATCAGATGATGTCGCAATAGAAACTAAATCATTCTGAACAAAGATTTCATCTCAGATCCATCGCACTTGCTTTCTGCTTCTTTTCCTAGCTAGACCTGCTAATGTCTGCTTTCTTCAAAAATGCAAAAAGTTGTGAGAGAGGCCTGCTGATTGCGGTCAGTTTCATTTGTTTTGGCTTATAATGAATATGTTTATCAATTATAAATGAAAAGGAAATACTGAAATCCGATTACAATTGCAACTTCTTCATTCGACATATACAAGGTATCGACACGACTTCAAATATTTTTATAGTATACTTCAACATATTCTCTCCAATGGTATTTCGAAACATTACACACATATCAATGAAGAGACAAAAGAAAATTCTGTTGGAATTTTTCTAACCACTAGCTTTGAGACAGCTAGCAAAAACCGCAATGTGTGCGCATATGCACTGAGATATTTATATTTCTTACAGAATATTTATCGTGAAGAATTTATTGAAAAAATTGTGATTCTTACGTCAACAGACAAAATCTTTTATAGAGGGAATTTAAAAATGGCGAATGATAGAATGACACTGATGTATTATATTTTATACTCAAGACTTAACACAGATGAACGAAAACTAGTGAAACAACGAGAAACTATTCCAATAAACGGTGTTACGCAAATATACATAAAAAAGGCTTTATACAGGCTTACAGTGCAAAGTTTATATTGATAAGCTATCCCACCTCAGTTTCTTTTCTCTCTTTTTTTTTCTTTTTTTTTTTACACTTGTATTAATTTTGTGAAATATTTCGTAAAAGAAACCTTGACAATTTCGTGAAATATTTTGCAGTCTTCAGCCATTTACAAAACTTTCTACCTATTCTTTTATTACGATCATCCTCAAATATTATCTTCGTTAGTAATTTAAGACTTCTTATGTACAAAGGAAAAAAAAGGAAGTAAAATATCCCGATTTTGATTTAAAAAAAAAAAAAAAAAAAAAAAAAAAAGGTTAAAAGAAAAAAAAAAAAAAAAAAACAAAAAAAAAAAAAAAAAAAAAAAAAAAAAAAAAAAAAAAAGGTTACAGCGCCTGAAGTTTTATCTAATCATAATTTGAAAAATTTGAAACTAAAAATGAGTAATACTTTTGTCAAAGGATAGACATAACGTTGGTGCCAAGTATGAAAGTGCCAATCGATTTAGCCATGTTGATAGTGCCAAAAGTATTTTTATAGCCAACAAGAGAGCATAGTTATAAATAACTGAAAAATAGCTGTATATTGAGGGTAAATGTTAAGTAAAGCTGTTTATCTAAAATAGGGTAACTTTTAGGTTTATATAGTAGATTATCCTGCGAATGGGAAAACTGAATTCATACATTTAAAATGTATGGACCTAAAATTCATGATTTAAAAATATCAGATACGTACTTGAAACAAAATAACGTTGTGCTTCTAATAGTAAACCAATGCTGAAGTTAAACAGAATAATTAGCATAAATAAACAAAATTTAATCGCTGACTGAATTGGTTCGCTAAAGCTCATCCCAACTTTATTGAAGTATGATTGCGTCGATGAAACGCAGTAAAAGTTGTAGTTCTTAAAGTAGAAATTGGAGATGTGGGAAAGCGTGATCTAAATTGCCAGTTCTTCCTTTTTGACCAATCAAACTTTGAGGAAAAGAATTTGTATCCATGATTAATCAAACATTTGTTTAAGTGGGAGAATAAATTTTGCTGGACTATCTTTATCACATACGACAATTGTGTTGAATATTTCTGTTTTCGGGAAAAAAAAAAAAAAAGTTGCAGTGAACCACATGAAAATAAGAAAATTCGCAGCCTCACAAGATGCATTTTAAAGCCGATGCCGAGCAGTAGAGCCGAATAGATTATTCAACATAACTGTTGTGTGCGTTAAAGAGGTATTAGGCGACGTGCTGTGATGCTACAGAAGCATAATTTCCCGAATTATGTCTTGACTTTACATTAAAGAAGTCGTGGCTTCATGACCGTTTTAGAAGTCGTTGGCGATCAACACCCTGTCTGTCATCAACACCCTGTCTGTCATCAACACCCTGTCCGTTCGATTTCAGAAGTTTACAACACCCTATCTGTACGATTTCAGAAGTTTCATCGGTTGATGCTTCTATATTTCATCTGGGAATCGTAACCGTAACGAATCAGAGATTTTGAAATACAGCACAGAAACTAAAAGGGCTCGATGACTGCAGTTTATATAATATAAGAAAAGGGCTGTAAAGAGAATGCTCTACAAAATCGACTAGACAGTATTGTGAAATTTCTGCTGTTAGAAAGAACTATATGTCTTTGTTCCAGGCATTATTAATAAATGCGTTAAAGTAGCTGTTGGTTCACCGTTCTGGTTGGCGTAGTGGTTAAGGATGTTGGCTGCTGTATCGATGGCTCTCAGTTCGAATCCCAGAGAAAGCTTAGATGTTTATATATCTTTGCGGCATGGCAGCACTCAAAATGTATGGTGAGTTGAAAGTTCTCTCGACTGGTTTGGTGGTAAGGGAAAGGTCTGGAAGATCTCGGATGAATCTCCTAAGGAATTTTCCTTCAAAATTAGGAGGCCACATCTTTTGAAGGAAAATCGCCCTAAGGTGCTTAAAGCCTTGTCACCTATAACATGATGAAGGCCCATGAAAACGACAGCAGAGTTAATGTTCCAGTCGTCAATGAGCTAGAACACACCATCCAAGCAATGCGCAAAAAACTACTAGCCGTCCCAAGTATATGCACTATTTTCTTCCATTAAATTACTCACATCTCATATTAGGCTTTCGGGCAATTTTCATATTATTCTAATGCAGCGATATTTACCTGTTGTTGGTTAGGCACTTCTGGAGGAACGGGGTCGAAGGAGATGATCTCGTTGTTGTCCTCATCTTGAGAAGCATCGCTGCTTTTGGACAGAAGCTCCGATGGGTTTCTTTCAACCTGAAAAAATTTAAAAAAACGTACATTCATTTATTCTGCCGCTATGCCACATTTGAGATTTATAAGTCGAGTCATAATTGTTATGACTCAGGATTAATATAAAACCTGAAAGTAAATGAATGACAACATTTTGTGAAAGCTATGACTACAGTAGTGATGCTTGAAATAACGGCGTTTTACTTTCAGTATGAATGTAACATTGAAATTTAATGTATGTTACACTGAAATCATAGCTTTTCATTGGTATAAAATAAGTAGCTAATAGTATATAAATTATTCGAAATACGATATGCTCGGGCAAACTAATGCACCGGTACGCAAGGATAATACAAAATGATGTTTTATACGGTAAAAAATTAACTCATCTGTGGTTTTAAGAAACTTAAAGCAGTATATTCATTAAAATGTGATTTAATTTTTAAAATAGTGTTTAATTAGCAGCACGATAAAACTTAAATGAATTTCTCAATGCTTTTGGAGGAATGTTTATCATATCCTTTATTTTGTGGGCCGTATTGGCATTCTTTGGGGCAAAAATGATGAAAACTGCTCAAACGCTTATATCGTGCCAGAAATGGGCGCAGCGCGACCCACCTAACCAAATAAGTTCGTCTTGTGGTCAAAGACAAGCTTATAAAGTATATTCTTCCTCCTTTCCATCAGGCCTTTGTAGTGTAAATGGAAGCGGCGTGTATTCGAGAGGTCCAGGTTAGAGTTCCGGCGAGGGCATTGTTCATTTTTCACATCTCCAGCATCAGAATAACCTAATGATTCTATAGTGATGCCCTGAACTAAAAAATGGTCTACGATAATTCGCCCCCACCGAGATTTGGCGATTGGGTCCCCTAATCCCCAGTCGCCCTTTAAAAGGAGGAGTATATAAGGTATATTTTATATTTTTCTAGCATCGTGGTGTAACGGTAGCACACTCGGCGTCTCTTCGAAAGGTCCAGGTTCCAGTCCCGGGAAGGGCATTGCTCATTTCCCCCCTTTTAGCACCAAAAACCCTTAATGATTCTACAAGCTAGTATTTAAGACTATTCGAATTTTAAGTCTGTATTCGAATATGAAGGTAAGCTTTTATATTAGTATTAACGGGCGCAGTCCCCAGTCCACCTAGCCGGTATACGCTGGCCATATGATTGAAAGGAGGACCGGCGAATCCAACCGAAAAACGAGGAGCCAGCAGCCCGGCTGCTCCCCTTCAAAAGGCCAGCCCCCCAAAAGCTAAAGCTTTATAGATACGAATTTGCCAATATATTTCAAGGTTCCACTGTGGTTCATCCTTGCTGTGCCTTCATTTTCTTCTTGTTATTCCATTGGCTTGCGAGCAAAATTCTCTGGTTCTTCAGCACTCTTCTGTTTCTCCAACCATATTTCTATATTTTCTTCTCTTGAGCATTTTGATGAACTTGTATAAAATATCACAATAAAAACTAGTGCCAGTTAAATATAAAACTTCCAGTTGAAACTATTATTATACGCACTTGATTAAAGAATTCATATAAATTCTTTGTTTACGTTTTTTAACCTTTGGTTAGCGTTAAACTGTATCAACTACCAAGCAAGAAAAATTACAGATTTAAAATGAGCAATTCTTTACAGTTAGCCAAAATTTAACTCTGACGTTAATTTTAGAAAACATTTCCCTGTTTTATACGGAAAAACATCAGTAAAAATATCAAATATGGTATGTAAATTTGAAAAAAAAATAATATACAAAATAATTAAAAATTCTGTAAATGTTGAAGATTAACGACGAAAATATAAGTTTATTAAATTAATATGTCACTATGTTGAATTAAAAAACGATACATAAACGATTATATATGAAAGGGAATTATAAGAATTAATATAAACATTTAGTTATATTGATGTAAATCCTGCCGAAGTATGTTAGTGCCCTGATTTACTTACGTACTAAAGGTAGGCTTTGCTTCTTCATCTTGGCAAAATATTTTTGTGACAATTTAATGAAAACTTTGGATAAAAACCACGTCATTTAAAAAAATGCAAGAAATTAAAATAACAAATGATAATAAACGCATATGAATCACTAGATATCAGGTAGATATTTAGCTGATTATGAGCAATACGAATATAATATGCAAGCAAAGAATGCGCCGAGATAAATCATGTGTCTTAGAATTCAATGTCCAAAGCAGATAAAGGTCTATTATATCTAACTATTCCCCTGTCGTCCATATTTTTGTTTATTAATCTTCTCATGGATTATTTGCGATTTAATCTCGCAGTACAAGCACAGAGATTTAAAAGTGCAATTACGTTAAGCTTTACTTTATCCAAAGCATTAAAAATGTACTGACTTGAATGAAGTATGATGAAAGATCTATGATGTTATGTTAATGAAAATATTATAATATTATACAATATGAAGAATGATGAAAGACTTATGATATAAAGCTTAAAACATAATAAAGATTTTTTCTTTTCGAACATTTTGTCCACAGTTGCCTGCTAGAAGCCGGGCAGTAATAATTGAATATTCATAAATCTATCCCGGTTTAACTCTAGAAGAGGTGTAGAGACATTCGGTTATTTCGAAGCATGAGAGATGGACCTCTCGAATACGCGTCGAGCGTGCTGACCATTATACCATGAAAGCAAGCTAAAAAGGCGAGAGAAATACCTTATATACTCCCCCTTTTAAAGAGCGACAGGGGTTAGGTGACCCAATCGCCAAATCCTGGTGGTGAAGTATCATCATTCACAACCTTCTAGTTCGGGCGCCATTGTAGAGTCATTTCAAATTCTTTTGATGTCAGAAACTGAAGAAATGAACAATGTCCTCGCCCGAACTCGAACCGCGTACCTCTCGAATACGCGCCGACTGTGCTGACCATTACATCACGAAGGCATGCTAAGAAGACGAGAGAAATACCTTATATACTCCCCCTTTTGAAGGGCGATTGGGTTTTAGGGGACCAATACCCAAATCCTGGTGGTGAAGAATCATTATTCACCACCTTTTAGTTCCGGGCGTCACTGTAGAGTCATTAGGTTATTTCGAAGCATGAGAGATGAAAAATGTGCAATGCCCTCGACGGGACTCGAACCACGGACCTCTCGAATACGCGTCGAGCATGCTGCCCACTACACCACGAGGGTGTGCTAAGAAGGCGAGAAAAATAACTTATAGCGGGATATACTGCATGAAAGATTTCATCGCTTTTCTCCTATATAACGGGAATACGAGCCCTTAGAAAGTCCTCCATGAAGACACTTTTTTCTCAGACACTGCGTTGCCATAATCTAAATAATTTTAATCCTAATCCTTTGACCGTAGGCCTGGGATAAAATTTAACCTTTGGCTAGTGTTAATTATGTTAAATACTTTTAATGCATTTTATGAGATAAAAACACAAAATTTCTTTCTTAAGGAGTGCATTACTGCCGAACAACCAATTTTACCTTTTCTTATATTTGGACTATATTGCCAAACGTACCAGATGTAGAAGATGTGAAACTTCACATCAAGTTACAAAAATGAGTAAATAATAATATATTAATATTTATAAATAATATTATGTTAATATTTATGAATAATAATAGGTTAAGGCAAACAAATTAGAACAATGATAATATAGTAGTCATGATATATTAAAAAATAACAACACAATTAATATGCGATATATTTGAAAATAAAATAATAATTCAATAAACACTGTACGTAAAAATATATGTATAAGTAAAAAAAGAAATGATTAGGTAGAGTTATTTAGTCATTGGAGAGGAAAACTTAATGGAAAAATTTCTTACTGGAAGAATTTTTGGAAATATAAAAATGATTTATTTAAATAATTTTAATACATGAATTTATGTGCATTTTAAAAATTTCTTTCTTATCTAATAATCGAATAAAGATCTCGCCGTTTATTAATCGAAGCAAATTACTAAATTGGTTATGTTTTTACTGAAAGCATCGGATATAGAGCTAAACTAATATAGTTCACTAAAATACAAACCGAAGAATGACATAAGGCGAATACATGCCACGGAAATGTTTCAAAAGTCCAATCATCCACATACGACAGCAATTCCCAAAGATCTGTCACATCCATTGAAAAAAAGGGTAAAATCTGATCACTGCAGAGCAAATAACATTTCGTGCTTAAAATCCATGGTGGTGGGACGCTTCTGATCAGAAAGGTGGTAATGTCAGTCTGCGGAGCGAACACATCTTTGCAGACGCTTTAGTGTCTTGGCTAGTATCCAGCCCTCGTTTGTTTTCTCTTCCTCCGTTGGAGGAACTCTGGGCTTCATTATGATTGACAGTCATACTTCGCTGTTACTTAACAAAATCTCAAGCGCGTGTAACAGCTCAACCCTGACCGAGTGATGAAACGCTTTGGCCTCGTTATCCCTCCGAGGTTCGCGAAAGCGATTCTTAATAAGCGTAGTTTATCATCGCCGTTACGCTGGTGGATTTGAAGTTAAAGAACATTTATTCTGTAATTTCTTTGAAAACTGCTTTTATGGCAATTTGCTTCACCGCGAGATTGATTCTAAATGCTTATAATGTACCCATATTTACAGTATGTTACATGCTGACGTTTAAACTTTAAAATATTTGTTCTATCAATTCTCAAAGCAGCATTTTTAAAAAATTTTTGCAAGCACTTTTGTTTAATGATGCTCCACTGATTATCGTTTGATTTTTCCCACAGCGCAATGTGGCAAAACCAATGCTAACTGGCTGAAAATAATTTTAAGATCACATTTCCAGAGTACATTATTTATGTGAAAAAATCATGAAGTCTGTGCTTCAGGTATCAGTCCTAATAATAACTCGAAGTGAATTTTTTAATAAACTATACTTAAAGTCTTTCCGAGACCGAAGCAACAGCTTTATAGATTACCTTAGAGGCTAATATGAAGACAATTACAAGGAATAACTTAAAACATACCTTCAAGGAATGAAGTGACAATAGAACGGTTATTTCAAGTAAAACACAGAGCTTAACAGAAGCACCAACCCA